TGATACAAGGTGTGACACTTTCCTACTGAAATCGAAGAATAACCTCACTATCCACCTTGAACCATTTCCCTTAAAGACATTTGTTTTGTTTGCTTGTTTTTATATYGTCATTATGCAAATCCACATTAACCAGAAAGGAAGCTAGTGTTTCCAATAAATGCATTAGCATCCATTAACACTGCACTACTTTTTGCATGTATTCTCATCTTCATCTTAGAAAGTCTAAGGAACATTAAAGACATAAATAACAATTGCTACAGCTTTGTATATCACAACCATTTTGTCTTCATTAACTCATTAAATCTCATTAAGATTTCATGAGGCTAGAAATTATTACTCATTTTCTCAGATGGGAAAAATGACTAGGATGTAAGCACAACGATGATAGAAAGTTTAGTCTTACTTTGTTCGCTGTTATATTCCCAGAACTTATTGCAATGCATAACATAGTAAKCAATCAATAAATATTTCTGAAATACTTGTTTTTTTGGCTTGTTTTGGGGGGTTCTGAGGATTGAACTCAGAGCTTCATGCGTGGTAAGCATTTGCTCTACCACTGAGCTACATCCCATCCCTTATTTGGGGCAAATGTGAATGGATGAGTGAAAATTAACAATAGATCATTAACTGCCTGTAGAATATAGCTGCAATTCTAAGCTTGTTGACTAGTTTTTTTTTCCATTATGAAACATTATATTCTAGATGATTTAGAGTTTTTTGAGAAGCAGAAACTTGAGGTCCTAGTCAGTGTGAAGAGCATAAGGCACCAAAAGATTGAATTAAACTGGATTCCCATTGTCTCACTTGCTACACATAAAAAAAAATTCACATGCACGTGCATGCACATATGTACACACACTATGACAAAAACCGCCCAATTTCCAATAGGAGGTGACTATGTTGTTACATGGTATTTTTCAATTGAAAATCCATGGAAAGTCTGAAAAGGAAAAACCCTTAGTCTTTATAGAGTTCTAAAAGTGATACCTCCTCTTTTTAGAAATTAGACATTATAACAGTTTAACTTTCTGTTGTATGAAAACATATATCCTCAACAACATAGTTTTAATAGCGAACACCTATGAGGGGTAACCCATGCAATGTGATTTTGTAAGCACATGCAAGGTTTCATTTAATCACTACAATAACCCAATGATAGGTAATAATATCATCTCTACTGAAGAGATGAAGAAATCCAGGACATTAGGTTAGGTAATTTGTTTCTATCACTTATCTAGTAGGTAATAATGAGACTCTAAATTCTGTAATTTTAACTGTTGTGTTTAAAACACTTTATATTATTTCCATAAATTTTAGCATACATTTTAATTTATTTAGACATTAAATTTTGAAATAACTCTCAAAGTACATAGCCAAAGTGTAAGATTTTGATGATGCCATCTGGTTTTATGGAATGACCTACAATTTTAAAATGGAACATTTTCATTAAAGATGTTTATTTTTGTTAAATATTTAGACTTCTTAATTTTTATGATTTAAAGTGAAATCAGAGTCCCTGTGCTTCATTGCAGAGCTAACACATTCTGTTATTTTGTCCTAATCCAAGAATTTTAATAATTAGGACACATGCTGAAATAAGATGGATTTATACCCAAAAGCTCCCCTCCACATCCATCTTCCCTGACTGTATGGTATATATAACGTGAGCAAGAAAAAAAGCCTGTTTTGTTAAGCCTCTATGGTTTCTGAATCAATTTACTCATGGAGCAACATAGTGTATTGTGACTGATATACAACGTAACTTTGTTTACCCTTGATCAATTTTCTTTTTGGTTATCTTTTTATTCTTATCAAATTGTAGGTACTTTTTACACATAAAGAATATTAACACTTAGTTTATCATATACATTGTAAACATTTTCATCTAGTCTATATTTATCCTACACAATTTTTCATACCCAGTTTTCCCCTTGTTTTTGTTCTAATTTATACTGCTATTTCTTAAAAATGGCATGTGGATTTGTGTATGTCATGTGCATTTTAAAAGATTTTTTGTCAGAGTTACAATGTATTTCCTTATTTCTCCCACCCACAAAAAAATTCATACTTTAATCCATCTGTAATTTATTTTTTGTATTTTGATTGATGTTTTCTTCTAGACGTAAACATTATTGCACCAACAACATTATTATTAGATCATGATTTTCCAGAAGAACTGAATATCACAAAGATTTCACATATACTTTAATATATTTAACTAATTTTTTCTACTAAAATATTGTTTTCTATTGTCACTATTTTGGGGTTTTCTTTAATTAAAAAAAATCTTATAACCAAAACTCTTTGCTACTACTTTTATACTTCAAAATTTTCATAACAATTCTTGTACATTTATCTTCTACTCATTTGAAAATAGTTTTTTGACTTCCACAGTAAAACGACTTGAAATTTTTGTTAGAAATAGTTTCACTACTCTACGTTGTATATACCAGATATATAAAAAATATGTTCTTTATGTGTAATATGACTTGAAATGCATTCTGCTGTCATATATAATAAATCAGAAAAAAAATTAAAATATATATAAAAATATTGTCATTACCCAGTTACTCAGTTTCCCCAAATTTGCACACTTGGGCTATAGTTTCTTTTGGGCTGGTTCTATAAAATGTGTGTTTGAATAGCTTTGGTAGTATAACAGAATGATTCAGGAAATTTGTCAGTTCTGTAGATAGTTCAAATAGCATAAAAGTTACATGTCTTTTAAGCTAAGATCCTATCTATAAAATTATCTGGAAATTTTTGCTTAAAGGTAAATATTTGAGAAATTTTAATTTTTTAAATATCTATTTATATGTTTCTTAAAACCTTTTTGGATTAATGATAAGTTTGTTATAAAACATTAAAAATAATCTTCAAATATGTGAATATATCATATCTACTCTCTAAATTTTTTTTTTTACATGAGGAGAAAAAATAATAAATAGGGGAGCTAGGGTTGTGGCTCAGTGGTAGAGTGCTCGCCTAGCACAAGGGAGCTCTGGGTTCAATCCTCAGCACCACATAAAAATAAATAAATAAAATAAAGGTAATAATAATAATAATAACTACAAATGGAGATGCAACTCAGTAGTGAAGTGCTTGCCTCATATTTGCAAGACCCTGGATTCCACTGCTAGTACTGCAAATAATAATAATATTATTATCCTAATAGTTTATTTATATGTATTTGTTTATGTTGAAAGGGCAAATTTTTCTTACTCAACTTTGCTTACATCAGCCTTTCTACCTGCCCACTAGCCATCCTTTCTCTTTGTTCTAGTGATTGAACTATTTTAGACTTTGATGAACCTTATCTCTCCCAATTCTGTACAGCTCTATAGGTTTGGGCTAAACTAATCTAAACTCCCTTTGATAGTTATCAGTCAGGATCTGGGACAATTGGTATAGATTCTGGATGAAAGAAAATCTCTTTTCTGAGGTTGTTAACTGTAAGGGTCATTTCACTTGGTGCTACTGAGGGTCATCTTTTGTTATCTTATATCAATAACTTGCAACAGAGATAAGGAAGAATGGACAAATAGAAAAATATAGTGTTGTGGACATAATTGAAATCCCTAAATTTAGAACTCCCTAAAGAGAAAACTTTTTCTTGGTGTTCCATTTGTGTGAGGCTGTAAACTTTTACTTAAAACATGTTGAGTTGGAGGAGGGGGAGAAAAAAACACAATCAATCAATCAATAAAACATGGTGAGTTCAGTTTCTGTTTCTAAATGAGACTGACAACTAAATGAGCTCTGATTAACTCACTTGTTATCTCTTTGTTTAAATCTTTCAATAAGCAACAAAGGAAGCTCTATATTATACTTCAATGTTTTGGGATGTATTTATTTTCAAAATGTGTTATCATAGAAATATACTAAAAATGGGCCTCCAAAATTATAGTCTTAGAGAAAGGAATACTTATATTTAATTTAATTAATAGTTAATACACTTTTTGGCTAGTTTTGGGTTTTGCTTTTTTCAAGAAAAAAATAGGATTTCATAATTATCTTCTGCTCACATTATGTATCTGTAAGGGGAATTTTTTTTTAAATTAAACTTACCATCTGTACCTTAATAACATTATTTATGAACCAGTTCATGGTCTTATTTAGTTTTATCCTTGAATCATGAGATTGATTGAGATGTTTTGAAAATAGCACTAATCTTTAATTCTTTTATGAATAATTATGACAGAATTGTTTAGTTATCACCCATGTCATATTGTGGTAATGAAAAAAATCATGTGATATCTTTTTCTTTCTCCCTAGAGATTTCTGTTATAGCCCAGAAACAGATATATATATATCTCCAATTGATTTTCAACAAAAATGATACATATGTTGATATAACACTACCCCTCACATTTTTTAAATGATATTGAAAAAATTGGATAGCCACATCCCGAAACAAACCAAAACATCTCATCTCTTATCTCACTCAAATCAACATGAAATGAATTGTAGAAGTGAAGCTAAAATTATGAAACATTTTGAAGAAAATATAATAGAAAAATCTAACTTCTTTAGGGAAATTTTTTAAAGAAAAGAACAAAGCATATTATATACTGAATATTTTTGTCCCTCCAAAAATCATGTTGAAGTTCTACCATCAATATAATGAAATTTAGAGACAGGGCTTCAGTGGAAGTAATTAGATTTATATGAACTCATGACACTAGAGTCCTCATGATGAGATTAAATTTTTTATAAAGAGGAGACATCAGAGTAACTGTGCAGTCTTTCTCTCCTTCAGCCCTCTGCTAGAAAGAGAGGTCAGTCATCTGCAGGTTAGGAAGAGCTCGCACTAGAACATGACCAGGCTTGTACACTATGTAGATTAAATTTCTTTTGTTTAAGCCATCTAGTCTAAGACTTTTGGTAATATCATAAGAGCATACTAAGACATTATAGAAGAAAAAAATTGGCAAATTAGACTTGACCAAAACCAAAATCATATGGTTATCAAAAGCCACTGTTAAGAAAATGAAAAGGCAGTGTTCGCCTTGGCAGCACATACTAAAATTGGAGCGATACAGAGAAGATTGGCGTGGCCCCTACACAGGGATGATACCCATATTCGTGAAGCTTTACATATTAGAAAAAGAAAAGAAGAAGATATATATGTTATATATATTATATATATATGCTATAGAGTGTGCATTTAGAATATATAGTGAAATTTCAGAAATCAATAAAATAAAGCAAACAACCCTATTAAAATGTGTAAAGTTATTGGACACTTTACATAACAGATACAGGCCAGGCATGGTGTTTCACACCTGTAATCCCAGCAGCCAGGGAGGCTGAGGTAGGAGGATCATAAGTTCAATGCCACCCTCAGCAAAAGCAAGGTGCAAAGCAACTCAGTTTGACTCTGTCTCTAAATAAATATACAGGATAAGGTTAGGGATGAGGCTCAGTGGTGGAGTTTCCCTAATTTCAATCCCTAGTACCCCCCCACACCAAAAAAAAAAAAAAGAAAAACAAAAAAAGGACTAAGGATATGGCTAAGTGGTTAAGCACCCTGGGTTCAACACCTGGTACCCACCCCCAGGGGAAAAAAAATGATACAGAAGACTAAAATGTATATAAAAATGTTCACCATTATTGTTTAAGGCAATATAAATTAAAATTACAAGAGACACCACTACAATAAATTTTCACACATATTTGTATAGTGGTAAAATGATGATATCTGACAAAATATTTATTTGTGTACTTGTAATTTTTAATACATGGCAACAGAAATCCTGCACTATCTTTCATTGCACTCCCACAGTACTGTAATGCAAATGGATGATCCAATAAATACACCAATCTATAATCTGAGAAGGATCTATAATATTCATGTAAAACCAAAGTAACTTTATATTAAGAATTGCCATATTCTTAAAAGGCAATTCTTAAACTTTTAATTTTAAAAATATTCAATAAAGCAGAAATATAATCATGAACAAATAATATTTTTCAAGACTTCATTTGAAATTTATAATTCCCTCAAACTTTTTATGTATTATTTAGTTTTCTAGTGCCATAAAATCAAATTAGTGAAATAAAATATGTAAGACATAGCTGTTTCATTGTGTTTTATTTAAAAAATATTTTGTATTTCTCTATATTGTATCCTTTAACTAAAGTGAAATTCAATATAAGGAGATCAAGTCTTTTATAGAACACACTTTTATGATGTTTTGATATTCTTTTTATAAAAGGATTCTGTAAACAAAAAATGAAAGTGATATTTAATTATATAGCAATTAAACTAAAATTTCTAATTTCTTAGAAACTAAATTGTTTGTCATTTACTAATATAATATTAGCATGTACCAAAGCTGTATTTTTGTACAATTAAATTGGAGTACAAAATCATTTATGTAAATAACTATTTTCCTCTGGGGTGCTCCATGTGCATCACTGATTTAATATTTATAGTAAGGACAATTTCTATATCTTTAAAAACAAGGACCTTAACCTAAATAGTCTCAATTTTCTTTTGGTTCTAACATTCTTTTATTAATTTTTATGAATTAAATATTGATAAATCCACTGTACTGTCCAAAAATATTAGTCACTATTTATACATTGTCATAAACAGAGATAATTTAGTAATATTTTTTGGAATGCATTCTGACATAATTTTCTCTCTCAGAATTTTTTTCATATTTAATACCTTACTCTCTGGTGATGATCTGTGAACACTTATCCAGGGAGTCCCTTTGGATTTGACCATTCTTGTGTTTTTTGCTATTTCTTTTCTTTTCGTATCATTCCATTTTCTTTCTTGAAATCCTGTAGTTTATAAAATGAGATTTCTCTTGCTCAGGAAAAATTATAATGTCACATGTAATATTTTGTGTGGAATTTTCATGATAACATTTCAATCTGCTTCTCAGAAACAGACAGGGCATTTATGCATGACTCATGAAAACTATTATATTTGAGCAAGATTTATTATTTTTGTTCTTGTTCTTCATTAGCTTAGAGGTTTATTTTACTTTCTTTTACATTTAATACATCAAATGCCTTCATAAAACTATTGCTTCTAAAACATCTAATTTAACTTTGTTTATCTCAATCTGGTATAAGAACTAAAACTTTTCTTTCTATATGCACAGAAGTAAAATGATTGACAGTATAATATTAAGAGTTGTGTCAACTTTAAAGAATTAATTGAGTTGCAACTATATGCCAGACATTGTGAAGGGGATACAGTACACAGCAAAAAATGAGACTTAGTCATTGCTTTTAGTTTAGTAGGATGAAGACTGACACTTAATAAGTAATTTTAAGTATGATGAATACTAAGAATGAAAAAAAACAGAATGCGCTTTTTGAAGACTGTAAGAAGACTCTTAATGCAGGCTTCAGGATATGCTTTCCTAAATTGTATTCTATATATGTACTAGAAATTGCAATGCATTGTGTTGTCATATATAACAAATTAGAATAAATAAATAATTTTTTAAACAAGTTTTTCTTAGGAGGTGAACTTGGAATGAGATCTGAGGCAGAGTAGGAGTTACTGAAGTAAGAACTCGGCAGCATAATCAAGTTGTGCAGATGAAAACAAGTTTCAGTGGAGGAGCTTATAAAATTCTAGGATGTAGCAGAAGTAGAAAGGGAGTGCACGGAGGAGTAGAACCTGTCATGATTTGAGAGGGGGACCATGTATGAATGGGTCATGATAAAAGAGGTCCATTTCCTTAGTGAAGACAAAAAAATCACTCCTCTCCCTTACTGATAGGCTAATTTCCCAATTTCTCCCTTAGGACAAGAAGCAATATTTATTAAAATAATGCAATGATAGATCAGAGAAAATGGAAGATACTTTTGTGATAGTTCGTATTCTCAAATAATAACATTCAATATTGTCAAAATGTTATTTCCTTAAAACTTGATCTATAGATTCAACATAATGAAATACAATTTCAGTGGGTTTTTTTAGATATCAACAAACCTATTTAAAGTTTAGATGCAGAGGCAAAATTTACCTAAATGAACAAATAAAAATAAAAAATATATAAATGCTAAAAATAAGAGGCATAATACCTAGAGAACCCATCATAATATTGAAGAAAAAGAACAAAGTAGGAGGACTGATACCACCTGACTGATACTGCCCAATATTAAACCTTATAAAGCTATAGTAATCAAGAGAGGGGGAACAGGCAGTAGAATAGACAAATGCAACAAGGGAATAGAAAAGAAATTCCGATATGAACCCAGGTTACTGTAGTTATCTGATCTTGACAAAGGAACAAATCCATAAGCCTAAAGTAATATAAATCCTTTTTAACAAATGATGCTCAGGCAAGTGGACATCTACAGACAAAAACAAAAAATAATCTAGATAGAAGCTTTACACCTTTCATAAAATTAAGTCCAAATATATTATAGGCCTAAGTATAAAACACAACTATAAAATTTCTGAAGAAATATAGGAGAAAACATAGATGACCTTCAATAAGGCAATGACTTTATAAATATACCAACAAATGTATGATCCATAGAAGAAAAAAGTGACAAGCTGAATTTAATTAAAATCAAATTGCTGCTTTGAAAACTACAATATCAAGAAGATGGGAAGATAAGCTATGACTAAAAGAAAATATTTGCAAACAAATACTTGTGCTAAAGGACTCTCATCCAAAAAAACTATAAAAATAAGAAGGGTAAACTGAGTAAGAAATGGGAAATATGTATAGACATCTCACCACAGGAGATATATAAATGTCAAGTCAGCATATGAAAGTATTTTCAACATCATGTGGCATTAAGGAACAGGCAACAGAACAGACAAATGGAACAAGGGAATAGAATATAAATCCCAGAAATAAACCCATGTTAAAGAAGTCATCTGAAAATTGACAAAGGAGCAAAGTCAATAGAATTGAAGCAAGATATCCTTTTTTGACAAATAATGCTATAATAAGTGACCATCCACAAAGAATGCAAATTAAGATATATCAGGGAATTGCAAATTAAAATAATGAGATACTACTACACAGCTATAAGAATGGCCAAAATTTAGAATATCAACAATACCAAATACTGGCAATGATATGAAACTGTAGGATCTGATTCATTGCTTATAGAGATGAAAAGTGGTACAGCCACTTTAGAAGACAGTATCTTAAAAAACTAAACATACTCTTACTATATAATTCAGCAACCATACTCTTTGATTTTTACTTAAATGAACGAAAATGTATGTCCCCACAAAACCCTGCACATGGATGTATGTAGTAACTTTATAGTTCCATTCATAATTGTCAATACCTGGAAGAAATTAAGTTGTTCTTTGGTAAGTGAATGAATTAATAAATTGGAACATCAAATACTAAAAATCAATGCTATCAAGTCATTAGAAAATATGGAGGAAATTTGAATGCATTTTAATAATTGAAATAAACCAATCTGAGAAGACCACATACTATTTGATTTCTACTCTGTGACCTTCTGGAAAAGGCAAAACTATGACACAGTAAACTGATCAGTGGTTTCCAGAGGTTAGGAGGGAGGGAAAGAATAAATTGGCAGAGCAAAGAGGATTTTCAGTGTTGTAATTCTATTGGGCAATACCATATTGGTAGATGCATATCACTATACACTTGTCAGAACTCATAGACCAACAGAACTCATAGAACCCTAATGTACACTATGGATTCTGAGTGATAATGATGTGCCACTTTAGGCTCATGGACTATAAAAAATGTACTTCTGTAGAATGAGATTTCAAGAGTGAGGAGGTCATATTTCAAGAGTAGGGATTACCTCTACTTTTTGCTCACTCTTGCTATAAACCCAAAACTCCTCTGAAGAGTTAAATTTTATTAATTTAAAACACCACATAAAAATTAAAGGTATTGCTACTACCAAAATGTCCAGAACTATTTGAAAATGTTTCCATTTTATATTAATATAATTAAAACATTTGAAAGCTTTAGGTGACTGTTCTCATTGATAGGTTTAATACACTAATTTGATTTAGTCTACTACTCAATTTCTATGGCCACCTTCCAGATTTAAAACAGCAATAATTTTATGAGGGCATGAGTAAGCAGCATATTCTGGCCAATAACCTCCACTGTCATTCATA